CTTCCAAGGTCCCTAAAATTATTTACAAATTATTTATTTTAGCAAAAAAACCGTTGTGAACCTCTATCAACTTTGAATGGGAGGTCTACACGTAAATCCCCTTTTAATATCTACAATTGAGAAATCCCCCCCTTAAGTGATTAAAGGTTAAAGGATTTAAAACTTTACAAAGCTCAACCACTACAAAAAAAAACTACGCAAAAAAAATAAAGTCTTACCTTTTAAAGAAAAGGGAACCAACCAACGCCAATAATCAACCCCGATGGGGTAGCCAAACGACAAAGTGGAAGCCTGGAGAGACCACACTGAGCCACAATCCAAAAATAATCCGACCTGCGTCGTGGTGAGTCCAAAAATGGCCGCTGAGATAATCCAAATCCAATATCCTCAAACAATCGGCCACCAGCAAACGGCTCACACTTATAAAAGGGCTTGGAATATAATCCCTCCTCAGAGGATAGCACACTTGCCACAAAAAAAATCCAATACCCAACAAATGGATGCAGAAACACCGTGTGATTTTTTCCACTTTTGTGCCGAAAAACCTCCACCACTGTCCTTTTCAACCAAGAAGGCGTCCTCCCACTACTTAAAACTAAAATTCCGCCAAGGAACCTTCTAGAACGAACCAGAAAATTATCTGGCCGTCAGCTGACTTTTCTGACCAATGATCAGAAAACAGTACCAAGATTCAGTTTTGGGAATAGGCAACTTCAAGTTACCCGTTTGACGAGTTACACGGATTTATTCGATATATTATAATATATATTATAACTTGTTCTTATGGATCATGCAACAAGTTTCTAAGATAAATAATGAAGTTAGTGTTAATATTTCTTATTTTAAGAACAGCGGTCTACATGCAACTAATCTGTGTGCTCCACACATAAGAACCTTATTGCCCGTTACTTGTGAGTTTAGTGATAATGCATTGCGTACTTTTTCTTAATCTAAATATTTCTAGTTCTCCAAATTATTCAATATCAACTTGTTGGGGCAAATGTGGAGTACCCTAAAGCCATCCCCTAAGTCAAAATCGTGATTGGACTCTACTAGATGGGTGGCAAAATGTGAGAAGCCGGTTGTGGCAGTATTCAAACATCTTAAATGTTCTTTAAGTCTAGTCCTAAAATTACGAAAGGTTCTACCTACATATTTGGCTGGGCAAGACTTACAACTGAGTTCATATATGCCTGGTTGATCCATGATGTCCACTTTACCTTTATTCTTGATGAAAAAGTTACTAATTGAGTTGGAGGATTTAAAAGAAATTTTGAAGTGATTTTTGAGGATATTGGAGACTATAAGAAATATTTCCCAATATAGGTAAGTAACATATACCTACTAATGCTAGCCTCTACAGGTATAGGGTTAGTTATAAATGTTGTAATTTTAGGACTAGACTTAAAGAACATTTAAGATGTTTGAATACTGCCACAAACCGGCTTCTCACATTTTGCCACCCATCTAGTAGAGTCCAATCACGATTTTGACTCAGGGGATGGCTTTTAGGGTACTCCACATTTGGCCACAACAAGTTGATATTGAATAATTTGGAGAACCTAGAAATATTTAGATTAAGAAAAAGTACCAATGCATTATCACTAAACTCACAAGTTTTTTTCCGAATCCACACCCACGTTCTCAGTCTTTTTTAAAAATCTACGTTTCCCTTAAATTAAACCCCCCCCCTTTTACTTTAAAATTTCCCTATGAAATTCTATTGACTTTTAATTATTAGTTATACTTATCTTATATTTTTATTCTGTCTCCATTTCCATTTTCATTTTTCAGCACATTACTTCAAAAAACAACTAACCAAATCAATAGTTTTTTCTTCTTTTCATTTTAACACCATTTCCTTTTTCCGTTGATTATTACCAACTTCTTAATTTAAATATTAGTACATCTAAAATTATTTTCCAACCCTAATGCTAGACTCTACTTTTAACATTAATAATTTATTTATTTCATTTTCTTTATTATTACGTACAAATTCAAACAATTCATTTTATAAACCTATATTATTATTGAGAAACATTTATTTTTTTCGCAACGCCATCTATTAGCCGATGGTCAAAATATTTAAATTTGACAACCTCTAAACTGTTATCTTAAATATTAGAATAGTTAATTCGTCTATTTATACCTAGAGGGCGTTAATCAGTATATTTAATCTAAATAAAATTTAATTCCTGTAGAATTATAAACACTTGTCCAAGAACCCATTTTAGTGCTTGTAGGGGTTTAAAAAGTTTTTAAATTTGTTTGTCTTAATTGTTCGTCCGTTCGTGAAATATTTTAATAATTTTAATTAATAGTTTTAGACCTACTTTTGTTTATGTGTTTTGACATCAACTTTTTGTTGCAACTATTGTTTTTTATGTATTTTAAAAAATACTCGCATACTTGTTTTTACACCGACCCTGGGATAATTCTCTTAACTTAGTCTTAAATAGATGAGTAATTACGGGTGAGTTCTTGATATTTGACAACTTTCATATTAAAATGTTTAAACCCACTTTATTAGTTATGAGCTCATTCGTTTTTCCTCTCTATTTTAGACCTTACCTGATGATGAGGATCTGATCCTCGAAACCGGTCGTAATAAAAATACTCTTGTGAGATCCTAAGGACCACCCTCGTTTGATTTACCTTTTCTGAACTTATAACTCACACATGGCTACCACCTTCAACTTTAATGCATAATATGTAGTTTTTGCTACACAAACTCCTAATTCATGAAAGGTAGTTCCAATGGCATAACAACCCAATACGAGTTTTTTTTTTAAAGTGATTCCACATGAGATTTGAATTTCAAATCCGTGTCGATATTTAAACCCAAAAATTTTGTAGAGTCTGTGGCTTCTACATTATCCATATCTATTGAAATATCAGGAATATTATATTTAAAGGTTAGTATTTTTGTTTTTTAAAATGTATTGACAGAAAATTTGCAGTGCACCATGTTTTAAAGAATTTGAAGTCATTACTAATATTTGCATAAATAATGTTTTAGTTTGCGTTTCAGTTTCATTCTACAATACATTTTTGATAATAGTTTTAATTTTTTTTTCTCTTGCGGATTAAATGAAGAACTAATCGTCATATTCATCAAGTAATTATTTAAATCAACAATCAATCAATAAATGTTTAATATTAAAGCTACAACAGCAACTAGACAAAACATTTATAAATACAATAATGTAATGTTATCAATTACATGATTAAAAAAAAAGAACTCAAATATAAACTGAAATAGCGATACTAAAAATATAGGTACGTGTACGTTTAAATAACTGGTTTAAACAGTTACAACAATTTAACCTTTTATCAGGAGCGTATGCTTATGAAACGAGGTTAGTCTCGATGGGTCTGCCTGACCCATGAGTACTAAATGCCCGATTTTTTAATTAATTACATCTTATTCTTTTCTCAATTTAACTTTGAATAGTATATCTACTTTATTTGTATAAAATAAGTACCAGATAACAAACTTCAATATAACTTATAAAACAATTTCTATTTACTTATAATATAAAATTGACGGATTTTTGGTCATTTAATTATTATTTAGATTCAACTACATTTCCTTCTACATTATTTTCTTCTAAGCATTTTTGACAAATTGTTTTTAAGTGTCGATACAACTAATGACCATTTGCAATGCAATAAAAATAATGCTGTCCATAAAATTCAAACTATTCTTAGACGGTGCCCCCTGCGATGTCGTAAAAATTATAGTTAAAAAAATTATACACCATAGGGTTGACAGTCCCATACGCGACTAATTAATTGTTAAAAGTCAAGGGTTAAATAAAAATCAAAACTCTTAAGACTGAATATATTTCTGTGTAAATATTGCAACACAAATATTCTTATGTTGACTCTACCAAGTGCACATTCAACACCAAGTGCACATTCAACGACCTTGAACTTCTCAAAGCAAGATTTCAAGATCATTATCATTCTGCATGCGTGACTCTTATCCACCACGTGTTTTATTCTTTTTTTACGACTTAAAAGGATTTAATGGCAACAGCTAAAGCCAATTTAAGTCTTTTGAAATTTATAAAAAGAGTTGCATATTCTGTTATTTCGAGCTTTAGTATTAAATCGTTATTTTGGGACAGAATAACAAATTTTAGGTAAAAAAAGTTAAAAGTTATCATCGTACATAAAATAAAGCATTTTAGCTAATGATACAGTGGGTCCATAATAATTATTAAAATATTTATTTTAAATTAAAAAAAGTCATTCTTCATAATTTCATTTACTTGTTAAATAAATACGATTCACTCTGAGGAACTTCGATTTTTTTATAGAGGGTAGGCAATAAAAAATACATTTGTGTATTTGCAAAATTTAAAATGTTTAAATACAACTTTTTAGGCGCTCAAATAAAGAGTTTTTCGATTTCTCCTTGCCAAACTTTTTATTAAAGCGTTTCCAAAAAATTTTACATAATTATTTTTGATTTTGCAAATCCACAACTCTTCTGTTTTACGCTCCCTGTACAAAAAAATGTAAGTCTTTCAACGTGAATCCTATTTATTTAATAAGCAAAAGAAATTATGAAGAATTCCTTGTTTTTACATGTGTACACACACATTATATATTTAAAATCTTTTAATATAAATAATTACAAGTAGGTAATAATTTTAATATCGTGATGTATAATTCCAGAAATTGTTCATGTGAATCTATTGCGTGAGTGTTTGATTGACACTTATTTCTAGAATACTTAAAAAGTTATCTCATTCTTTTATTAAATTAATTTTAAAATAATTCTCTAATAATTTATGTAAAGAATTTTTATAAAATGACATGCACATATTAGAACTTGTAAAGTTATGCTAGGTAGGTATTTTATTTCTTTAAATTCAATACTTTGAATTTTTCTAGCTCTTCATAATTATTATTGTGAATATTTCTAAAGTTTCTGGATTTTAAAGAATTTATATTATAATATTTTAATAAATAATTTAAAAATTACTTACAGTCCACTACCTTCATGTTCTTCTCTATCACAACCATTCTTCACAGATGTGTCTTCTTCTGTTAAAGTAATCCATGTTTTTATAACAACGGTGCTAACCAAATTCAAAACCGCAAAAACATATAACGATACATCTATTTTTCCATAAAATTTTAATATTTGATAGAATTCTATAGTTATCCAAGCTGCTAATACATGTACAAAGATTGATAATTTTAATCCCACAGATTTAAGTGCATCTGGATAAAATTTATCCACTATAACATTGGGAAAATACCCTTTGTCGAACCTAAACGCAATTGCGTATATAACTGTAGCTGCTATTGGTAACCAAGATATATGATGACCAACAGAACCATTTTTGTTTAAAGTAAAATAAATTGCTAGAGATAATAAGGATGCTGTACTTAAAAAGCACGAAAAATATTCATTCCTTGAATTTCTTTTTACAATTTTCAGTTCGCTTAATATTCCAGATAATCCTATACATGCAATAAATCCAATTCCAGTTGTTGCAGAATGTACAACTGGTATATAAGCTTCATGTAGTATTTCATGTAAGCTCATAATCAGTACTGTAATACCAGCAAATTGTTGTATAAAACTAGTAACAATTATTTTGATACTAGCATGTCTATTAGCATTCGTATTAAACAGTCTTTGATCTCGTTTTTCTCGATTTTCTTTTAAAATCTTGACTTGTATGGTTTCTAATTCCTCTTCTATCGAAACAACGCTTCTAAGCTTCATTAGATTGACCCTAGCTTCAGTTATTTTATTCCTTGAGATAAGGTAGTACGGTGATTCTATCATTAAAAACGATATTACTAGTTGCAATAACATTATTATAGCTCCTATTATAGGAGATACTATGTAGGAGAACGCCGGACTTAGAAGATAAATAAATAGAATTCCTAGGAGCAAAGCGTAGTAAACTACACCTTTCAAAGATTCAGCTAATTTTTGGTTAGTAATTTCAGAAATGTATGTTGTTGATGTCGATAATGTTAGCGTTATTGATATTCCTGCTAAAACTCTAGCTACAAATATAGTAGATAATGAAGTCGTTGCAGCTAAGAGAATCCAGGATATTAAGGATACTACAGAAGCAGCTTTAGTAGTTATTTTTGGTCCACCATTTAAAAAGGGCACGCTGATGAAACAGCCTGCCATTGCTCCTAACATATAAAAGGTTTTGAATAGCATTTGATCGGATACATCTTTGAGAAAAAATGTTTCATTTTGTTGATCTTGCGACGCGTTGCTTATATTTTGATTATGTAAAAGTTCATTATATGGTTGAAATATAACAGAGGAAAAACCAAAATGCATTCCATCTGAAACAGCGCCCAGTGTCCCTGAAAAAAAAAAAAAAGAAAAGTAAACAAGTTTATAATTTCAATGGATAAACATTATTTAGAAAATTACTCCGTTTTTAATTACATACAATTATTAAATCACTGATTATACCTAACGTTTAGTAAATAAAACAATATTAAATGGCGTTTTTATTACGTAACTTAAGTATATATTATTAAAAAGCATAATGTAAATATATTTGGCATTCGTTTATATGTATTGCACAGGAAAAGTTACCAACTTTTGTGTTTAACGATTTTTGTATATAAATAAAGTTTGTAAAAGATCTTTATTCTATATTAATTTTTATTAAAAACTGCTCGTGTGTAAAGTCCAAACTTTCGACGGGAAGATATCGCGGACCAGTTATCTAAAACAGTTCGGAACAAATGCAAGAGTGAACGAATGTCTAAATGTCCTTTAAACTATACCTGTGGAAAACACGGATGATTATGAAATACTTAGAATAAATATGCGATATGGCCACGAATACTTACAGTCAAAGAATCGCTAACAGAAACGAGAGGAGAGCCTTTAAGAATACGAATTAGATATTGTGAAGATGGTGAGATTTGCCTACCCATCAGCTCCAGAATACATGATTAAATGTTTTGCTGTTTAAGCATTTGTTGAACATTCCAGTTTGTCCGTCCCAAAATATTGGTTGAAGTCTTGTCAGCTGCTCTCGAATATGAAGCGTCTACGCAAGCTTCTGGTGAATACACATTAAAGCGAGGACTGTAAAAGAAGAAGAAGACGAAGAAGAAGACGAAGAAGAAGAAGAAGAAGAAGAAGAAGAAGAAGAAGAAGAAGAAGAAGAAGAAGAAGAAGAAGAAGAAGAAGAAGAAGAAGAAGAAAAAGAAAAAGAAAAAGAAAAAGAAAAAGAAAAAGAAAAAGAAAAAGAAAAAGAAAAAGAAAAAGAAAAAGAAAAAGAAAAAGAAAAAGAAAAAGAAAAAGAAAAAGAAAAAGAAAAAGAAAAAGAAAAAGAAAAAGAAAAAGAAAAAGAAAAAGAAAAAGAAAAAGAAAAAGAAAAAGAAAAAGAAAAAGAAAAAGAAAAAGAAAAAGAAAAAGAAAAAGAAAAAGAAAAAGAAAAAGAAAAAGAAAAAGAAAAAGAAAAAGAAAAAGAAAAAGAAAAAGAAAAAGAAAAAGAAAAAGAAAAAGAAAAAGAAAAAGAAAAAGAAAAAGAAAAAGAAAAAGAAAAAGAAAAAGAAAAAGAAAAAGAAAAAGAAAAAGAAAAAGAAAAAGAAAAAGAAAAAGAAAAAGAAAAAGAAAAAGAAAAAGAAAAAGAAAAAGAAAAAGAAAAAGAAAAAGAAAAAGAAAAAGAAAAAGAAAAAGAAAAAGAAAAAGAAAAAGAAAAAGAAAAAGAAAAAGAAAAAGAAAAAGAAAAAGAAAAAGAAAAAGAAAAAGAAAAAGAAAAAGAAAAAGAAAAAGAAAAAGAAAAAGAAAAAGAAAAAGAAAAAGAAAAAGAAAAAGAAAAAGAAAAAGAAAAAGAAAAAGAAAAAGAAAAAGAAAAAGAAAAAGAAAAAGAAAAAGAAAAAGAAAAAGAAAAAGAAAAAGAAAAAGAAAAAGAAAAAGAAAAAGAAAAAGAAAAAGAAAAAGAAAAAGAAAAAGAAAAAGAAAAAGAAAAAGAAAAAGAAAAAGAAAAAGAAAAAGAAAAAGAAAAAGAAAAAGAAAAAGAAAAAGAAAAAGAAAAAGAAAAAGAAAAAGAAAAAGAAAAAGAAAAAGAAAAAGAAAAAGAAAAAGAAAAAGAAAAAGAAAAAGAAAAAGAAAAAGAAAAAGAAAAAGAAAAAGAAAAAGAAAAAGAAAAAGAAAAAGAAAAAGAAAAAGAAAAAGAAGAAGCAAATAAATTCGACCAATTGTTTAACATGATAAAAAGCCCTAGAGAAGCAGCCGAAGACTATCAGGTGCAGAAATTGCGTTGAAATTGGAAATGTAAGCGGTTTGCGCAAACGCTCTAAAAACACTACAAATCGAAAAACCGTGCTGATGGCTGTACAGGACCGATCGGTGGTGCTTGATATATGTAAAACCATAAAAGTAACGCGGTTATAGGTAACTATAGAGAAAAGAACACCTGTGATGATGAAAAGCATTGGTCACGACTGCTAAATAAATTCCTGTAGAACCCATAAACGTTAATAATCACCCAACTACTATCAAGAAAGAGATCAGAATCGGAACCTGTGTACCAATAACTTCCATTATTCGTCAGACAACATCTTCTGATAATTCCAAGGACAAATTCGAGCAAATAATTACAGTTGTTGGTTAATCTCTAAATCAATTAGTGAAAAAGAAAATAATAAAATTTCTTCGACAATATCGTGACATTTTTGTATCAAGAGGCGGGAAAACACGAAAAATTTATGTTGTAAAACATAATATTGACACTGGTGATTCCAGGCCATTTCGTCAATCGACTTGAAGATTACCAAAGCCCAAGAGAGAGGAAGCTGAAAGAATTGTTAGGGAAATGAAGGAAGACAAGGTGATACAACCTTCTACCAGTCCATGGGTCTTTCCGGTGGTCCTGGTTCAGAAAAAGGATGAAACTACGAGGTTCTGTGTGAATTACCATCAGTAGAACAATGTTGTCAAGAGATAGTTATCCTGTCTGGAATCGTCGATATATTGTACATATTGGCCAAAAGTAAACTATTTTCTGCCTTAGACTTGAAGACTGGATATTGACAGGTGGAAATGGACCCAGTAGATAAAGAAAAGACACCTTATATCACAGGATCTGAATTGTGGCAATTCAATGTCATGCCATTTGGACTATGTAATGCTCCCCGCGACATTTAAAAAACCTGTGGAAAATATATTGAGAGGGTTATCTTGCAAAACATGCCTGGTGTATGTAGACGACATCAAAGTTTTGGGGAAGGCTTTTGATAAACATTTAAAGAACTAAGAAGATAATTTTAAAGAGTGTAAGCTACCAAACTGATGTTTAATTTCAAGAAATCGCAAAATAAAGTTAATTAACTGGGTCATATAATCAGCAAGGATGGCGTGGCTGTATACAGGTTGGACCGGCTTTAATTTGTCATTTAAATGGGGAAAAAGTTTCGTATTTTGACGGATAATACAATGGTCCATAGAAGTTACAGATTTTCTGACTGGTTTCGGAGATATTCGATAAAATCCGAAAAACCTCACTTTCGTTTTTTAAGTCGTGAATTGTTATTATAAAAGAGAAAAAAAAACATTATACGAAGTTTTTGTTATAAATCTACCATGTCAAAATTTTTATTACGACATTTCGTATTCGCAGGGTCATCCTCAACTTATTTTTTTAAATACGGACCTGGATTTTTAACTGTAATTTTTTATAGCTTTTGTATAGCTAAATACAACGATATGTTACCCTTTACCATTTTACTAGGTTTCGTCTATGAAAATATCATCAGCTATCTAGCTTCTGATGATACCATTTCTTACTTGATTAAAACAAGATAGCTAATTAAATAATAATTAAAAAACAAAAAATGATTAAAATGTGAAATTTAAAATATTATTTAAAACATAATACAAGAATTATTTAATTACAAAGTGGGTTACAATTTTTTATCAAACATGATTAAGTACAACTAGCAAACAAAACTAATGGAGAACGAATTATGGTTGTACACATTCTACAAATAATAAAGCTAATAAAATAAATAAAAAAAGTTTTAAAAAATGGGGGTAAAAAAAATTGTTTCGTCTGCACGAATGCTCAGGAAGGGCCTCAGTAATAAAATGAGAATGAGCTCAAAGGTAACGTTGTTCGAAACAATACAGCATTGAATTATTATATTTCTTTAAAAATATTTTTAGTAAGTCAATGAATGCAGTAACTGCTGAATAATTTCAAAAATTTATTAAATACACATAGGTGATAAAATTTAAACAATACACATTTAAACATGACGAGCTTGACAACAATTGATACTAAAATTGTTCTATTATAGGATGAAATTAAGGAAGCAATGTGAGAACCATGTCTACAATAAATTATAAATATTATTCTTAATTGTTTATAATTAATATTATCCATTATTGTAGCCCAATGAAGGAAAGTCCTGTTACTAGGTTATTTTGTACTAATAGTAGATGAGTACTATAATAATTAAAATTGTACATTTTCAATACTCATTAAATTAATGCTATAAATAGCAAATTCTTTCTATAAAAGCTCTGCTGGACTAATAGCCATAATCTTACTAAAAGTCGTAATCTTTTACTATTTAGAAATGTTATCTGCAACTATGTACGAAATGACATAACTGACTTTTTATATTTTTAAAAATTATTCTCCGTTTACCCTAATATTTTTTAATTACTAAAATTGAAGTTGTTGTTAAGAATAACATAAAAATAAACTATGGTTTTCCTTTAATCTCATCTTTAGTTAATTTTGTTTTTGTTCCGAATAAATAATTTTTTTATATTAAAACTAATAAGGGTTTAGAATTACTAAAATAAATGGTTTTCATTTTTTAATGTCTATGACATAATATTCAAAATCGCAACATTTAAAACAAATAATAAATATAGCAAAACAGTAATTTTATTTTTAAATGAACGTAGTAAAAATAAAAAAGCAATGAAAACAATTTAATGATTTAATGGTTTGAAATTTTTTACATTGTACTTACCAGCGATAATAGATACGAGCAACCAGACATTTCTTCTACTTTTCTCATCATTTTCGACAGCCATGATTAAAAATATTGTTACTTTTATATCACCGTAGTCGTGTCATTTCAAGCGAAGCAAGCTGAAAATAAAAAAATCAATTTGAGCAGGTACCTACCACCGTACCATTATTATGCACATAGGCGGGTACAGTTTTTATTTTAAATGGATTCGTTATGCATATCTATTAAAATTTATTTTATATATTTTCTTATACAGTGTGGAAACCACTTATGGAATAAAATTCTTTATGTCATTATTTTAGAAAATTATAAAAAATGCCGAGACAAGTCAACTTTTGAATTGAGTTGTGCGTTATGTAAACATAAATTTAAATGTACAGGGTGAGATTCACGCAAGTATGCCATAGTCAGTGTTGTTTTTTTTTAATGAAACACCCTGTTTATTTGCATGCATACATACATTATTCAGTTTGTTGGAATCGGTTCATTAAGAGGATTTCAAAAATATGCAAACATACAGGGTGTTTCATTAAAAAAAAACAACACCGACTATGGCATACTTGCGTGAATCACCCTGTACATTTAAATTTATGTTTACATAACGCACAACTCAATTCAAAAGTTGACGTGTCTCGGCATTTTTTACAATTTTCTAAAATAATGACATAAAGAATTTTATTCCATAAGTGGTTTCCACACTGTAGAATGTTTAAAGAATTTATAAATAGTGGTAAATTATTGTCTTTTTGACAATAATAGAATGAAATGGGAGAATGGGAAGAAATTTATGCGTTATACAAACATTTTGTAGGAATAAAAATATAAACATTAAAGTAAATTAGGATCCTAACCTGCTCAGGGGGATTCTTGTATTCCTTTTTTACCATTATAATGAAAATGCTTTGTAGACAAAGATCGCAAAAAGGACATGCGAAAAGGCGAAAAATGGTGCGCGAAAAGAAGAAAAAATCAGTGCTGAAGCGTGCAGAAACAAAACGTAAAAGAAGAAAAATATTAACGTCCGAAGTGTGCAAAAAAAAGCGTGCGAAAATAAAAAAAATAGAAAAGTGGGAGATTTTTTCATATTAGGGGGAGGTGGGAAAATGAAGGATTTTTGGGAGGAAGTGGTGGAAAAGGGAATTTTGTTGGGAAGAGATGGGAATAGGAGATTTTTGGAAAGGGATCTCGGATGTTTTGTGGGGATTGTGAGCAATTTTGGGGGATATTTTGGGGATGGGGATTTGTTTGGGGAATTTTGGGATCTTGGAAAACATCTGGGGATGAAGACTTTTTGTGGATGGGGAATAGGGGATTTTTTTTGTAGTGAGAATGTGGGATGTTTTATGGTGAACGTGGAAAATTTTGGGGTGTTGTGGATTTTTTTGGCGATTGGGGAATAGGAGATTTTTTAGGAGGGGTCGGGAATAAGGGATTTTTTTGGGACGGGATGTGGAACGTGTTTAAAGAGGATGGGGAAATTTTGGAGATTGGAGGAAATTTTAGGGATTTCGGAATATATGGAAGAGATGAGAATTTGATCAATTTGCAACTTTATGTATTTTTCGGACAAAAATATAATCCAATATTTTTCACATTGGTCAAACAAAGCGTACCATATAACTAATTGCTTTGATAATTATATCTACCGAGTGTTCAAATTAAAATGTTACAGATAAATACCGCCGAAAATATGCATTTTATAAAAAAAAGTTATAGACAAAAGTTTTATAGTTTTTTTTGGGGGAAATATTTTGGTAAAATTATTTTTTTTATAGCTAATCATAATATGGCCGAATCAAGGTGGACTTTTTTATTTTAAATGGAAGCCCTATTTTTTTACATATTCTTAAAATTCATAAAAAGATAAGAAACTTTTAAAGAAAATATTTTTTTTATTGGACTTTTACCTACTTGAAAATTTTGCTGAGCGAAAAAAATGTTGGCCGTATTATAATTAGCTATAAAAAAAGATTTTAGCCAAAATGTTTACCAAAAAAAAATATAAAACTTTCGACTAAAATGTTTTTATAAATGGTGGTATTTACCTATAACATTTTAATTTGAACACCCGGTATATACCTAACGTTAATTACAAAATATAAAATACCAACCGTTTTTATAAAAATTTTTTTCCCTTTTTCTTAATTACCTACTTATCTTTTTTAACAATGCAATGATGATCATGGTCTAGTCACGTCTAACTCCCTTTAACCCTCTGACATAGAGTGGTTCTAGAATCAGACTTTCCTTTTACTTTTTAATTTTAAATTGGGCAGTATTTTTTAACCCATGTTGTTTTAGGGTCTTTATTATTATGTGTGGATGATAACGCCAGAACAAAACTTCCTGTTAACCCGCAAAAATACTCAAATTTATATTTTGTTTTGATTCTGTCAAATCCAAAACCATATCAGTTCTTATTTGTTATTTGTCGTAGCCCGTCATGTAATTCTTACCACGACACGTTGTTGGTGAAATTATCGATAAATTAAATAACATTATTAACCCTAACTATAGTTAAAATCCATATTTTCATTTAATAATAACCAAGATAAACAATGTTACTCTTTCAGTAGCAAAGTGGAAATGAAATCAAAGAAATAAATGGATATGTGTACAATATAAAGAACAATTACCTTCATTTTTGTAATAATAACAGTAATACTGAAAATAGTAGACATCAGAAACTTGAAAGGTTTTAAATAAACGATAAATTATCATTTTCCGATGTTCTTCAAAATTCCTTTAATTTTAAATGTTCAGTCAGAACTAGATTTCTGCCTTTGATTATTGTATGCGGCTAAAATGGAATTTTGTAATTTACTGCTAGGAAACCAGTTTTCATCATTTATTCTGTTTTCTTTCGAACAAAAATGAACATATAAACAACAGTCCTTTTGTTTATACATTTTAACTTTACGGTATTATTTAATAGTATTTATTATTTTGACAGAATAGGTTAATTCTTCAAAGACAGCTTATTAAACCTAAGTAACTTCTCATACCTTTTCCCGTAAAAACTGTTGCCTGCCTATATTTTATTATTTATTTTTATTGATTGTACTAAAAACCAGCATATATTCTTTTTAATTACGAATTCCATTAAAAATTGTATTGTCAATATAGGCAAAAATAGTTCATTAGTACAATAATGAATTGGCGCTGCTGTCACGCACGGAGCGTATATGGGGCTTGCGTAGAGTCCAAGTGGACGTCCAGGATTGGGATATTTGTATAGTCCAATCGATGTCGATTGGATGTCCTTAGGTAAAATGCTAGACGTCCTTTGGACAGCCAATATGTCCATCAATGGACATCCAATGGATTGACGTGTGCTGCCTGTGTAATGTCAATAAAAAAATGTAAACTTTTAATATTCCGTATTTCCCAAAACATTAACATTTAGATAACACATGTTCAGACCAAAAGTCACCATTTCCCTTGAAGTATTTTAAGTTAACTGATTTTCCTTTTTTTAATTAAATACAATTAACAGATTTATTAATAGCAGCAAACATGATCGTATATCTGCTTTAAAAAAAAAAAATATCTACTATATTAGATTTTGTATCTAACTTTATTGGGAAATTGAGATTAACTCCATACTTAACATTTTAAATGAAAGGTTCCATCTTCAAATAAATACAGTAATTACTCCCTTTCTAAACTTTTCACTATGCCTTTATTCTGGTTCTCTTATTTATTTATTGCCTGTGATGATATGTACAAATTTATTTGTGATTTAATACTGCTTTTCTATAAGAGTTTTCAGAAAGGCGCAAAATATTTGCAGTTTTCTATAGACATCATTATCTAGCTGAGTTTTTTAACCGCCCCCTATTAATTTAGTTTAATTTTTTATCCTGCTGAGCTTTATAGCCTCCCACTTTAATTTTTTTAGTTTCTAATAGCTAATATTCAATTTTTCTTTTCAGTGGTTTCACATTTTCTCTTTTCGTGGAGCGGGATGAAATGGCTTCAAATTTTTGACGAGTTGATAACCTGCAAGACTTTAATGATCTGGGCGACTGAGGCTCGTCCATTAGCGGAAAGTATTTAAAAGGTAAGAAATATAGTTATGTTATTATATTTATATATTATAAATATTTTCATTATTTAACTCTGCTTTTAACTGAAAAATAATTATGATGTGAACAATTGCTATTATTTTCAAAAAAAAAATGGCATAAGACCGCCGAAATAAGAATATCAAATGTAGTATTTTGTACTGACTAACAAATAATCTATCTATTTGAAAAAAAATATATTTTTAAATTACAAACAAATAATTTTATTGCTTTCATACTGGGTAATACAATCGACTTGATTTTGCTTACTAGGAATAGATGGCGTTACTATTTTCACTTCTTGAATACTTATGCTATTTGTAACCAACATTATTGTATACTAGTGAATTTAGTGCCTTTGTTAATTCCATTAGAAAGTAGAATTGGGAACCTGTCTATTTCTTGCTGATAAATCCTAATAAGAACGAAACCGGTCCAGGAACGACGTTCTCCTTAGTAAGCAAAATCAAAGATAGAGTGTTAAAAATAAATTTCTATCTCTGCTGTCTTTCCTTTGGCGTAATTCAATACCTATTTCTGTATTAGCCAGAGGACTAGTTGTTATTTATTTTATTTTACGTCTTGGTTACATTCGAGTTGTTGTTTTTCTTTATCAACAATTTCATTAGTATACACTACGACTAAGTGTTTGGATCGTTTTGCATATTTTGGAATTGGCAGTTGTTTCTTCTTCTGACCTTTTATCCGTCTTTATTAAAATCTGAGTATTCCTTGAAGGGTTTGGTTTTTGATTTAAGTTTTATTAACACCCCTTTGGCTGGACAAATGTTCTCAAAACAAGAACACGTGAAAGTCATTATGGGAAAAGCATGTTTTACAATAATCAGGAGAGTTACTTTCTATCAATAGGAGGTAAGGAGTAATAACATGACACATGATTGGATACGCACTACTAAAGGGATACCTTTACACTCTTTACAGCGTAGGCGCGATACCATTCTAGGGCTTTATTGATCAATATTGTTAATGTGTCTGGAACATAAGCGACAATATACCCTTCTACGATACAGTACGATTTCTGCGCTTCTCAAAATTGTGCGTTATTCTACTCCACCCTGTATTAAATAG